ATGAAAATAATTTAGTTCGCCATGCAAGCCAGCGAACCAAAATGGGAATTTCAGCCTTACCGCGGAAAAGCACCTCAGGAATTAAGGTGATTTATACTGCGGCACCCACTGCACAAAGCCAACCGGTGGTAAAGGGCAGAGAAACAGGGAAGGGGATTTCAATGCAGCCAACACTCCACGTCAGCTGCCAGGTCAGCATCCCGGCAGCGAGCGCCCAGGCTCAGCGGGATGCTCAGCCCGGGAAAGCAGCACTTGCAAGCACTAAAGATAGCAAATCCCACCTCCCCCGAGGAAGATTAGAGATGAATTGTGACTCACAGGCAAAAAACATCGATTATTATAGAACCTGCTAAGGCCTCGGAGAATAACCATGTTCTTCCATGCCAGCTCACGCGCTTTCTCGCCCAGGCTCTTGGATGCGACTGGCTGAAGGTAATCAAGCCTTGGCATTCGGTGGGAGAGATGTGCTCCTTGTGCTGTGCCACATTAGCTGGAGAAACCCCAAACCCAGCAGCGTTCCAGTTCCTTCCCTCCTGCCCAGGAGAGAAAACACTTTCCTGCTGCCATAACCCACACCCAGATGAATGCCAGGAAACAAAAACCCACGAGGGCCTCCCAGCATGAGGGACCTGGGCTAAAAAAGTCACCTTCAAAGCAGCGGGGAAAGAAGCAGCGAGTATCTGTAAATCTCAGGCAGGGAGACAAGTTGCATTTATTAATTAAGCAATGAGGATCAATGCCTGAGACATTTCCTGTGGATTAATGATGGGCTGGGAGGAGCTGATGGCCTGAGGTGCAGCTAAGGACCATTAACACCAACCGGTCATTAATCCCCAGGAAATGCTCCATGCCAAGGTCGTTAAGTGCCTGCATATATTTATGGGTAACAATAACAACAATAATATTTGTACAGGCTCTCTCCCCACTGCCCGGCCTCGCTGCAGCCATGCCGAGGGCTGGTGGGATCAGGACACACACCAGGAGCCCTCTGTCCTGAACCCAGCCCAAGAGGGGACATCGGGGTGTCTGTCCTGAGGTGTCCAGCACCGCGTCACCCCACAAGCACCAGGAGCAGCTGCACATTGGAACGAGGAGATGCAAGGCAACCCTCCCCGTCCCTGGGTGCCGTGAAAAGCTCCTGCTCTGGTGCAGGCTCTGCGAGATGGCTGTGATGCTGACACATCTCCCACTGACCTCCCAGGGACACCACAGAGCTTAATTAGCTGCTTCCCTAATGGGTTTGGTGAGGAGGTCTGTCCCCATGCCTGTACAACACACGTGGGACCAGCACAAGAGCTGGCCCCATGGCCCAGGGGGCGGGGGCCTCTCCTGGATGTCCATGCCCACAGCCCCACCTCAGCCAGGAGTGCTCAGCCCTCCCAGCCACAATCCCCTGGGCTTGGGGACAACGTGCTCCCTGGCTTCTCTGTCACTGCACCATGGACAAAACATTCATCCTCGCCACATCCATCTCCAGCAACATCCACTGTCCTCCAGCCCTCCCACCACTGGCCTCTGTGCCAAGACATTTCCCAGCACTGAACCAGTGTCTGGGATACTGGTACCAACGTGGCCGCCCTTCTCCATCCCTCCAGCGATGCTCTGAGGTCCCGCTTCCTGCCGTGCATCAGCGATACCCCCAGGAGACAGGGGGGGCTGGGGCTGTGCAGCACAGCAGCTGTGCCCCCCTCCCAGGGGACAGCATCCATCAACCGCCGGCACATTCACCCTCTCCTGACCTGGAGGTGGCCGGCCATTCCCAGCTGGGCCTGAGCCCAGGACACGGCTTGTTGGCCAAGGGAGGGTGGAGGGAGGCGGGGGGAGGACAAGAGAAGGGAAGCAGGCAGAGGAACCAGGCGTGGAGGTCTGGCCGGAGGTGCTCTGCATTAGCCCAGGGTACCCAGGCTCTGGCCAGAGACACAGTGGGTGATTTCAAGGTGTG